CAGAGGGGCCTGTCTTACAGGTTTACAGCCTACCCCTTTTCACCTATGCCTCTTCCCCAAGGCCAAAGACCAAAGCTGACAGGCCAGCTCCCGTGAGGCTCCTGGCCAGTGACCTTCCCTTGAAAGTCCCTCAAACACCACACACTATTTCTTTTTTTTTGAGACAGAGCCTCAAGCTATCCCCCTGGGTAGAGTGCTGTGGCATCACAGCTCACAGCAACCTCCAACTCCTGGGCTCAAGCGAGTCTCCTGCCTCAGCATCCCAAGTAGCTGGGACCACAGGTGCTTGCCACAACACCCGGCTATTTTTTGGTTGCAGCTGTCATTGTTGTTTTTTGGCAGGCCCGGTCTGGATTCAAACCCACCAGCTTAGGTGTAGGTGGCTGGTGCCTTAGCTGCTTGAGCCACAGGTGCTGAGCCGCCACATACTATTTCAAAGAAACAAACCAAAGTGCACATCTGAGACTAAACCTCACCACTAGCGTCCTGGTGTTTCTAGGGATAGATTGTACTACTGACACATGCGTCTCAGAGTCCCGACAGACCAGGCTCCCCTGAGGCTCCTACCTTGATAGGCCAGGTTCCCTGAGGCTCCTGTCTTACAGGCTTATGGGTCTGTCCTCAGGGGCAACCCCTGAGGCTCCCTTTTCACCTGCACCTCTTTGACCAAACTACCCCGAGGCCAAAAGACCAAAGCACCTGCATCCAGATGGCATTAGCATCCTATTGTCTCTGACAGGCCAGGGCAACCCCTGAGGTTCCTGTCTAGTGGCCCCCCCTCAGAGGTCCCTAAGGGCCCTTCTAAACAAACAAACAAACAAACAAACAAAAAAACCAATTTCAAACAGAAACCACAGACTCAAACACCTCAGACAATTACCACTTGAGAGTAAGTTGGAGGATCTCAATTTGGGTGAGGAGTTGGAAGGAGTCCCTTTGAAAACCTCAGGAGGAGTTCAGGGAATTATGGGGCCCTGGAACATCCAGGGGGCTACACAAGGAGGCCAACCCTCCAGCTGGTGAATCTCGCTAGAGCCTCCAAATGTCATACCCGAAGCAAGTGGAATAGAGAAATGCCAGCACACTGAGTCCAAATTAAGCAAGGGTCCTTTATTGATCAGCTGAGCTGATGGCAGGCTCATGCTCAACTCCTAGAAGCAGGGGTGGAAACATTTTATAAGGGGATTTCAGTAGGGGAGGAGGAGTCCTTAATGCAAGCCAAATTTGGCTCGGTGCCTGTGGCTCAAGTGGCTAAGGCACCAGCCACATACACCTAAGCTGGTGGGTTCAAATCCAGACTGGGACTGCCAAAAAACAACAATGACGGCTGCAACCAAAATATAGCCAGGCGTTGTGGCAGGTGCCTGTGGTCCCAGCTACTTGGGAGGCTGAGGCTGGAGACTCGCTTGAGCCCAGGAGTTGGAGGTTGCCGTGAGCTGTGATGCCACGGCACTACCCAGGGGGACAGCTTGAGGCTCTGTCTCAAAAAAAAAAAAAAAATGCAAGCCAAATTTGACAAGAGCCAACTCCTGGTAAGGGGAGTCCTTACAAGGGAAAGTTGGGGTTTTGCAGTTATTACTAAACTCTTTCAGCTGAACTTCCTGTCTTAAAGGGGGAGTATTGAAAGCTTTTAGCTAGATGGAGTTGGGGCATAACAATTATGGGCTTCTTAGAGGCACCTACCACTCCTTTCATAAATTTTCCTGAGAAATCCATTTTATTCTAAATAGAAACTGTTGCTCAGAGAGCAAGTTTGGATACCTTCTCTCAGAAATGCTTTGCTTGGACAATGATTTTATTAGATGAGCTGAATTTGAAATGTTTGTACCTTTATACATCCCCAATGCTCCTGAGGTCTGTAAGTCAATTATAAACATATGTCCAATTTGTATCAGGATTGTGATATAATATTAGCTTCCTATGAAAAGAATGTGAACTGTAGTGGTTAACTTCAGACCATGAAGTGTGGTACTGAGACATCTACATGAAGTATAAATGCAGGCTTGTGGGGGTAGATTTTTGGTGAGAACAACCAGAAAAGCTAGAAAAATGAAGAGAAAAATGTGGTTGAAGGAATGAGAGAGCTGTTTAGGCAGCCAGCACTTGAGGAGCCAAGTTTCAAGAGAGAAGGGAAACTCAGGAGGGTTGCCTCTCTTCCCCATGAGGAATGTGCTGAATCATAAATAGTGTGGAATAAACATGCAGAAAAGCTGAGCAAACTTTGGTTACCAAGAAGCAGAGAATCTGTTTTGGGGTGTTTTGTTTGTTTGTTCTGTTTGAGACAGTCTCACTCTATTGCCTTGGGTAGACTGCTATGGAGTCATAGCTCATAATAACCTCAAACTCCTGGGCTTGAGCAATCCTCTGGCCTCAGCCTCTTGAGTTGCTGGGACTACAGGTGCCTGCCACAATGCCCAGCTAGTTTTTATATTTTCAGAGATGGGGATCTCACTCTTGCTTGGGCTGGTCTTGAACTCCTGAGCTCAAGCAATCCACCTGCCTTAGCCTCCCAGTGTTAGAATTGCAGGCATGAGCCACCATGTGCCAGGCTCAGGAAATGTTTTTGATGGTCTTAAAGGGCTGGAAAGAAAAAAACCTGAAGTTCTAGCCAACCAAAATGATCAGAACTTGCACTGACCACAATGCCTGGCTAGTTTTTCTATTTTTAATAGAGACAGGGATCTCAAACTCCTGAGCTCAAGGAATCCTCCCTTGGTTTCCTAGAGTGCTAGAATAACAGGTATGAGCAACTGCCCCTGGCCTTATTCTTTTAATCTTTGTCTTAACCATTTTCTTTTTTCTTTCTTTTTTTTGAGACAGAGTCTCATTTTGTCACCCTCGGTAGGGCTGTGGTGTCACAGCTCACAGCAACTTCAAACTCTTGGGCTTAAGCAACTCTCTTGCCTTGGCCCCCCAAGTAGCTGGGACTACAGGCACTTGGCACAACACCCAGGTATTTTTTTTTCTTTTGTTCCAGTTGGTGTTGTTTAGTTGGCCCGGGATAGTTTTGAAGCTGCCACTCTCAGAGCATGTGGCTGATGCCATAACCACTGCGCTACAGGCACCAAGCCATAAAGCATTTTGCTCAGACTGGTCTTGAACTCCTGAGCTGTCCAGGCTTCTTTACAAGGTGGTCTCAAGAATTCCAAAGAGCAGTAAGAGGGGACAAGGTTCAGTATACAAATAAACAGGTGGGTTTTTTTGTTCTGTTTGTGTGACAGTCTTGCTCTGTTCCCCTGGGTAGACTACAGTGGTGTCATCATAACTCACATTAACATAGCGTGAGCCACCATGCCTGGCCCACAAGCAGTTTTTATTCCTTAGTTTTTGTCACATTTGCTGTTGTCTCATTGGTCAAAACAAGTCATAGGGCAAAGCCAGGTATAAGAGATGGAGATACAGACTCTGCCTCTTTTTCTTTGCAGTTTTTGGCTGGGGCTGGGCTTGAACCTGCCTCCTCTGGCATATGGGGCCAGTGCCCTACTCCTTTGAGCCACAGGCGCCAGACTCTGCCTCTTGATGGAAGTAGAAAAGTTATGTTGCAAAGAGCTGTGTGCACAGGGAATTATGATCATTTTACAATCAACCTACCAATTGCCTTACCAAAAGCAGTGTGATTCAGTCAAATGACAAACTTCGAAAAATATTGCAACTCAAATCACTAACGATTAATTTAGCTATTACATAAGGAACTTGTGTAAGTTGTTAAGAAACAGACTAGAAGCTAACACAAAAGGCTAAAGGATATGGGCAGTTTCCAAAAGGAAACACAAATGTCTTTTTTAGCTGGGAACAAGGGAAAGGAGAGAAATAGGGAAAATTTTTAACATCATTTAGATGATTATTTTTTTTTTTGAGACAGAGCCTCAAGCTGTCCCCCTGGGTAGAGTGCTGTGGCATCACAGCTCACAACAACCTCCAACTCCTGGGCTCAAGCGA